CACAACCACGCCTGAAATCTCGATTATCACTTTATCATGCGAGAGTATAAAATGTTCGGTGACACCCGAACTTAGCCCTTCCTTACTTGTTTTATACATAATAAACCTTTTTGTAATAGTGGTCATAATTTTCAGGCATTTTACTGATAAAACCCATCTGCATTTTGGAGGTGACAGAATAAACCTCCCAGATTTTTACACGTCAACACCAGTTACCGACACTCTCGTTGGCTTTCTATCACACATTTGATTTCAATAACCTTGAGGCCGCTGAAGCGCCAGCTACATCTTATCAGATCCAGATGTGTTACGTGTGTATATACTATATTAGGGTGCTTCAAAACATATTTTGAAGTTGGCTTTTCAAACTTTAAAAATTCCCGCGACAAAATTATTATTCCCAGAAACTTTTTTTTATTGAAAAAATTCCGAATTTCAAATCACAAATTAGACGAAATTGAGATAATCAAACTTTGTCGCAGAAATTTTTAAAGTTTGAAAAGTACACTTTCTGAATATATGATGTTTATTTTTAGGGAACGAAAATTAGTTGGTGAAATTTTAGAAACGAGATTTCCTATGTTAAATGAATAGGTACCTAAAAAAAAACAAAAACCACCTCTTAGAGTGAAGCTACAGCGCTTGGATTGATGGAAAATTTTTTGTTTTTCAATCTCTAACGTAAAAGGTATTTCTATCATAGTTAGAAAACAGTTCTTTTAAAGTAACGTCAAATGCACCTACTGAACTCATCAGTCTCTCCTCTTTCCTATTGAAAACTTTAGAGGGAAAGTAAAGTCAGCACTTTAATCGACTTTCAAAGACACAGGTTAGAGAGGACCAGAGGCAAGATATTTGCGGTAAAGACATTTTTCGATATGAAGAGCGCATGCAAAAATGTATAGCTCGAAGCGATCATTACAGCTTTGAATAGATTTGGGGTTGAATCGAAAGAGAAAGACTAGCAGGACAGTAGACGCCGTAAGGATGAATAAAAGCTTGCGGAGAGGGTTGATGTAGGAAAAACTGTCGATAACTAAAAATCAACTCCAGTTTTTAGCTTCCTGTCTTTCAAGCGCAAGTGACTGCAGTCTCCTTCAGAGTGGTGACTATTAATTCCGATTGTAGGGCGGCGATATTAGCCTTGAACTCGTTGAATATATGCTTTGCTCTGATACCGGATTACCTCAGTTTCACTAGCTTTATAATGGAAACGGATAGAAACCTCATTAGCTAATTGCGATTTACTAAAGAGTGATTAGGCCTCAGCTCAGTCAGCGTCACTTGAGTTGTTCTCTGTTAAATTCAAGTTAGGTTGGACACCATAATTAAATTTACAACATTTTGCTGATAGATTTAATTGTCGATTAGACTTTAACTCAATTACTGATTTTTCTATTTCCTCTTTTAATTTCAGATACCTTCCTAACATTCGTTCTACTACTCTCCGTATACACAACAACTGCGACCATGTCGAATCACGATCAAATTGTAGCACAACGCGAGTTCGCCAGCAAATCGGCACAATTTGCCGTAAAACTCTTCAATCACATGCACAAGAAAGATCCCAACAAGAATATTATCTACTCGCCTTTCTCGATACAAACATGTGTGGGCATGGCACGCATTGGCGCGGTCGGTGAAACCGCTGCGGAACTCGACCGCGCACTGGGTCTACCATCGAACGATGTGGCGGCGATCGCCGATACTTTCCACAATGTATTGGTAACCTATAAGGATAGTCCGATTTTAAAGGTCGCCAATAAGATTTTCGTTATGCAAGGCTATAGCATCAAGAAGGAATTCAATGAAATTGCCACAACCAAGTTCTACTCCTCAGCCGATAGCATTAATTTCGCTGACAGCGCTAACGCGGCAAATACAATTAACAAGTGGGTGGAATCCAAAACGAATAATCTAATCAAAAATCTCATCGTACCGGATGCGGTGAATTCCGATACGCGCATGGTATTGGTCAATGCCATACACTTTAAGGGCGAATGGAAATACCAGTTCCCGAAATCGGCAACACGTGATGATGATTTCTATCTGAATGAAGTCGACTCGGTGCGTGTGCCAATGATGAATTTGAAGGAAAGCTTCGGCTATGGTGTTATATCTGAATTGGACGCCACCGTGCTCGAAATGCCCTACAAGGATTCCGATCTATCGATGTTGGTGATATTGCCGAACTTACGCACAGGATTGGCCAGTCTGCAGGAGAAGCTGAAGAACTTCAATCTCAGTGACATCACACGTTATTTGATTAACACGAAAGTCATTGTGAAAATGCCCAAATTCAAGGCGGAATACAATATCGAATTGAATGATGCTTTGATAAATGTAAATAGTTGCTGTACTTGTTGTTTTTTAAGTGAAATTTTATTTTTGTTATATTGAAATACCTCTAACACTCCATATATGGCATTCTCCACAGCTTGGCATGGCGCGCATGTTCAGCAACGATGCTGAATTCAGTAACATGCTCGATTCGACCGAGCCACTGCAGGTCTCGAAAGTCGTGCACAAAGCCTTCATCGAAGTGAACGAGGAAGGCACTGAGGCCGCGGCAGCCACTGGTAAGCATTACTATTTTTCTCAAGGCCATCCACATATTTTTGTCTTTATGTTGGCCATTTTACATATATATACATATATATTCACTCTACACATCTCTCTGTCTCTATGCTTTCTAATATTGTATTATATCTCGTACTAGCATAAGTTTATCTACATATAGTTAACACCACAAACATACATACATACATACATACATATCTGCAAGTGCATCTTTTATTTATCTGTGAGTATGTGTGTTTCTGTTTTCTCATTAGGCGCCATTATACGTAAAAAACGTTGTGCCATGTCCTTTTCCGAAATACCGGAATTTCATGCCGATCATCCATTCTTATATACGATCAAACATAACAGTTCCGGAGATATAGCTACAACAATTTCACTATTTTTGGGCACAGTAACCAGCCTGGATGCTGTAATTGCATCCGAAAATCATGATGAATTGTAAAATGCAATATTCATTAGGCTTGTTGTTGTAGTAGTACCTTATATGCATATTGAAAAAAATATATACATTGTAAATTATTTATATAAGCCTACATAAAGTCGAACAAATAAAAATAAAGGTACCAACCACAGATAATTCAAAATCAATTACAATATATGTATGTAGAGAGTACTGTGGTGGTCTTAATTATATATATTATATAATAATAAGTATACCTACTTGCTAAGATAACACTGACTGTGGCACGATTCCGATTACTTTGGCGGAGGGGTAAAAAAATCGAATTTCCGTATAAATGGGGTATGTGCGAATAGGGGAGCTTCTCCAGAGGAGAAATATCGAAAAATAGTGTAAAAATAACTTATATTTTTTAAAATTTTCAGAATAAAAGTTCAAAAATTTGCACTAATAACACATGGTATTTCTCTGTCTTTCACTAAATTTATTCGCGTTTTTCGTTCTGTATATTTAAATATACACTCTACACATTGAAATAAGTTCACATTTCAATTTTATTTTGTAATATTTTACCTAAATTTATTAATTCAAACATCACTTATCTCACTCGTCACTGCAAATTGTTTACAATTAGGAGGAAAACGAGCGTTGCCACATCTTAAACCACCCAATATGTAGGATTCTTAACGATGTTTCTTTGCTTGTTTTTTTGCGTGATTTTTTTTTCTATATTAATTACAATAAAAAATACTTTCCAATATTTTATAATTGAGTTGTGAACACTTTTTCCATCTACATATGTATATGTATAATATGTGATTTATATTTAATAAACACAAATAACTAAAACTCTATGATAATATTATAAAATTTATATCATATCGGGATGACTGAAGTACTCTTTTCTGTGTTGGCGGTCTTCGGCCGTGCTTTAAAAAAATAACCCTGGCCGAGCGAATACCCGGGGGGACTGAAGTACTTTGGCGTAGTACTCCTTTCTGCGTTAAAAATAAAAAAATATATTGAGTTTTTGTTATAAAGTGATTATATTTGTTGGTTACAATGCACTCATATTGAAACAAAATTTGAGTTTTCGTTATAAAATGTATAAAATTTAGTTATTATATCTGTCAGCGATTTCCATTTATTTTTGATTATACATTGTTTTGTAAGGTTAGGTGACGATACATCAATTTTTCTATTTAAAATATGAGTTTTGGATATAAAGTGGTTATATTTGTTGGTTCCCATGCAGTCATATTGAACGAAAATTTGAATTTTCGTACTGTACTAATATACGTTACACTTTATTACGTAATATTATTATATAATATTACTAATACATGTATATAATATTACTTATTTGCTAAATAAAATTAAAAAAGAAAATATCCATATGCATGTATTGAGGAATTTTTGCGAAAAAGAGGAATTTCAGCGAATTGCCTGATCATCACATGGCAGCGCTCCATTTCGTCGTAATTTTTGGTTAACAAATGAGGTCCAAACGAGTGTAAAATGTAATTTTTAAAATAAAGTTTTTTTAGGTAAAAAACCTGCTAAAAGTGTAAAATATGGATTTATTAACAAGTTTATAGTGTAATTTAATTAATTCGAAGTGAAAAATGTGAATAAAGTGTGTTTAATGTGGTGAAATAGCTTATTGAAATGTACGAATTTTGCGAATTTTTGAACTTTTTGATCTCCTAAACTAAGCGTTTGCGGCACCTACATATAACCCCACATATTTATTAATCAGGAGGACTTCCTCTTTCCAACGGTACCTTCAGATCGCGGCGTCAAAGAAATCGGAATTGTGCCCTGAGTGTAGCTTCAAATTTTTTCACTTTTTGTACTTACTTTGTTCATTCTCGTAAGCCATCTATCGGTTAAATTACCGGCTAATAACCAAACGCGCTGAGATTTCTGTTATTGTTTCCAAGAATTTCTTATGCCCTTTCTTACGCATTCATCCTTTCTAACGAAAAGGCCTTCCGCGCTAACTCTTTTAATGAGTCGTTACCCGCGACTTGCCGGGATATTATTCCATGCAGTTTCCGAAAATGATACGAGTACCACTGGAGAGCATTTAATGTAAAAAGCTATCAAAGTTGCTTTAATATTCATTCTGACACGGCGATTGCGATAAATTAATTTAAATTAGTCTTTGAACGCACTTAAAAATCTTCCCGAACATAAAAACAACAATTGTGTGAGAAAATTTTTCAGCAGTTTTTTCTCTTAGCGGCATTTCTTTATACCTAAAACCATTTGCGACATCGTGGGGACTATCTAACTATTTAAAATATTTCTATTATATTAACCACTCTATATTAGCGAAAAAAAATTCTAAATATCTGCTAAATGTCACAACGAAAACAGCTGATTTTTGTCATTTCGAAGCACAGAGTGTTCAAAGTAGTGTGTAAATTTTTTTAAATTTATTAAAAATCGCTAAAGTCCACTAAAAATATAAAAATAAAATCTATAAATATAATATTTAGCGCAAATTAAAATGTTTTTAATAGTAAAATATTTAAAAATTTTCTAAAAATCCAAATATTACAAAAAAAATTACACAATAGAAAACTTTGTATGTTTTTTAATCCAATTTAAAAAGTTTTTTTTTCGTGTTTTTTTATGAAACAAAAGAAAATATTTTACAATTAATATATGTATGAAGAAAGACGAAAACGAATTATAAAGATGGATCCATTTCAAGGTTCTCTACTTTTTTTTTAAGAAAAAACCCAGACACTTAATGCGAATTTGATGAGGAATGTTTGTTATCATTTGGAAGAACATTCTGTGGACTGTATTTTTGATGATAAGCAGATGGTCCATCCGTTCAGTCCAATTTTCGTTAACTCGTTCGAGCATTTCGACTGGTAACGGTACAACGGTGCGATATCACACGATTTTGGTGGCCAATCGACCGACCCAAAACTTGAAACTATCTGATCACCGAAGTGTTCTCTCAATAAATCCATTAATTGATGCGATTTGTAGAAAGTGGCGCCGTTTTATTGAAACCAAATATCGCCGAGATCACAAGTTTCAATTTCAAGCATCAAATAGTCGGTAATCATGGCGCGTTAATGGTCGCTATTGAAGGTTCCGTTCTTAACGGCAATATTTTTGAAAAATATGGACCGGTAATATTACAAACCACATCAAACCGTTGTTTTTTTCTGGATTAAATGACAGCTCTTGAATCTCTTCAGATTGCTCTTCGTCCCAATTGCGGCAATAAGTTGAGCGGGTTGAAAAGATTAATTTTCTTAATAAAGTTGAATGATTTGTAAACGCTGTTCAGGCGTAAGTCTTTCCGGGATGAAATGCCAAGAAATAGGTACTCAATAAAAATATTCGACTGTCAAAAAAGGCGGTTGAAAAGAGCATTATAATTAGATTATTAGACTCATTATAAATGTTTAAATTTGCTTTCTTAAGCATTAGAACCTTTCCAATTTGCTCTAAAGCTTTGCTCTCCAAAATAGGACCCCGAAAAATGAAGGAAGATAGTAACGAATATTTTTGTTAATAATAACGTTACTTTCAGAGCCATTTTGATTTCGCCCAGAGCCTCCTCTTTAAAAGTTCAACAAAAGTCGCTGCAGTATTTGTTTGAATTCAGTGCTTCAGTACAACGTTATTGAAACTATTTCATACTGTGACCTAGTGTTAAAAAAACGACTTTTTCTCCAAAACCCGTGTAGCACTTATTGGTGACGGTTTCACTTTTTCCGATTGTGTTCTTATCTCATTCCTGTTCAAATCATAGTGTCTCGCTTATTGTCGCTGTTCATTGCTCTTTAAAGTAATACCAAAGACTTTTGAATAACAAAATATCTCTCACAACGCTGATCTACTTTCAGGCATGAGTATTTCCAACTTCGCATTCGAAATCGATCAAACACCGTTAACCTTTAAAGTAGATCGGCCATTTATTTACACGATCAACAATTGCTTTGAGAACTTAACTGTTTTTGTGGGAAAATTAGCAAAGCCATAAAGTAATTTTTAACTGTAAAATACTTTTATAACGGACATCATATAGTTATTCTCCACAAATACACACTCACACAACCGCACATTCATTCATTCACTCATAGTCGGTGGAGCAAATATCCCTAATGCATGCATGCAAATATCATTTGGTATTTTTTCAGGCATGATTATGGGCAGATCTCTTCCAGCATTATCACCGCCAGCGTTCACTGTTGATCACCCATTTATTTTCATCGTTTACGGTGATATTGCGGAAATTTCACTTTTTACTGGGCAAATAACAAAGCCATAATTATTAATGAAATATTTTTTATGTAATAGAAAAATTTAAATAAAAAACCAAAACTGTAAAATTTGCATGAAAATGGTCTAAAGTAATATTATTAATATTATTTTTTAATATACATATTTTATTCAGATGCGTATCGGGTGCAAATTTATAATTTTAATCATTTTTTTCGATCTTACTTCTTTTTCTTCCCTGACACTACAACCATGAGTCGGTCTGGGACGAGAATACGCAACTTCGCCTATTGCCTCCAACCTTTGCTAGGTCTCGCCTGTTGAATATCCCAAATGCAGGCA